TCTGCTGGCTTCATATGCATTGAGTAAAGACTCAGCCATTGCCCGGGCAACAGGTACGCCTGATTGTTAGTGCGCAAGGAGGATAACGAGAAAGGGAGGGAGACAATGGCACATAAACTTTGCATAATGTGAAAAGGTATGTGCACAGGCCCACCAGTGGTTTTCCTCATGGCCTTGCGGAGGAGACAATGGGCGGGCAACATCTGCCGAGGCGGAGGCTGTTCCCTCCACCAGGCCCATACTGATGCCTTGAAATCAGCAAGATCAAGGGACGAGTGGACTCGCCGTACAAGCTTGGAGTATTGTTCATCAGGGGCAGCGCCTCCAGATCGATGAATGAGGCACTCAGTAGGTACGGCTTGCATAATGGAGTCCCCCGGCGATGGAGCGATGCTGGAAGCAACGCGAAGGGCGCCCCATAACGTGCCATGCTGACTGGGTCGAGTAGCAGGCCACCGAACATGACAGACAACACTAGCGCTCTCATTGTCCAACATGGGGCGCCGGAAGAGTAAGCGATCTAAGGAAGAGCCAGCACCATTGTTGAGGAAGGTGACAACTTTGGGAGATACGTAAGAGAAATTTGAAATCAGATCCTTCCAAACCGGGGTACTGGGCAGCTGGTTAAAGTCACCTCCAAGAACGATGCATTCGTCGGACAGTAGCGCGATATGAGAAGCAACGCGTGCACCAATGTCTTTAGTTTTAGTCGGGTGCACATAGACATTGATGACACGCAGCTGTGTCCCGTGTTTTTCGTATAGCGCATCCTGCAGGTAACCAGGGACGATTTCAGTGTGCTCAAGCTGGACCCACCCGAGGGGTGGAAGGATACATATTCCCCCACTGCCTGTTTGTCCAATGGGATTACTCGCGGCAATGTTGATGTGAGGGTGCGCAGTGGTCAAGGTAGCCGGTTGCGATTCAGTCCAGTTGGTCTCCTGGAGCAAAGTGAAACCTTTGACCCGTCCAGCACGAATATGTCCTGAGAGTTAGGGAGGGCAGCGAGGCTAGTAACATTCCACGCGCACACGTGGAGATTGGAGGGGCATGCCTGCGTGTAAACGGCGAGCCGCCGTTGGACGGCATGTACCCCGAGCCTGAGCCATAAATCGGGTTGGAAATTAAAAGGTTCGATATCATGGTACGCAGTCCGAAATTCCTGAATTGTGAAATCAACAGGGAGATCACACAAGAAGGAAAAACAATTAAGGCTGCGCACACGAAAGAACGAACGGGATTGGGGCTGATCAGCATACATGGTACGCCAAGCCAACCTCATAGCATTCGTAAGGTTGGTCAATAGGTGGGCTTTGACTTGGCGAGGCAGCCACCTAGCCTCACTGAAGTCATCAGCCCCAGTCATGGTCAGTAAGAAGAGCTCTCGTAACGGCCCCAAGATCACAGCCAGGAAAGGCGATGGAGGGAACGAGATTGCACACGAGAGCAATGGCTGCACGTTCCTGAGCTCTGAAGAAAACAACAGGTGTTCGGTCATGAGCCTCAGGAGCGTGGGGCTGGGCAGCACGTGCGTACCAGATGGTTGGCTGCCATCTTGACTCAAATGGAGCGGCAAGAAGGACACTGGTAGCAGAAGTAGCGTGCGAAGAGAAAGCCGCGATGCGGTAATGGAGGTCGCGTCCATTAACAGGCTGATACTTGTGCTGCGTCGGTACCTAAGGCCTTAGTGATGGCGATGAGGCAGTCATAATGGGTTATGGTATTCCCAAGTTGCCATGTGATGGTCATTTTCAAACGTGTTTGATAAACCTATCTTTGGGTCAAACAGAGTAGCGTCTCGGGTCTTGTGTGTGTCCCACTGTGTGTGTGTCAACCAAATAGCTTGAGGTTTGGAACACACCTTCGCACATGACACGCGCGAAATACGTTGTGTCTTTGTGTGTTATCAATCGAGCAATGCATGTAGACCGAGAGCAGCTGTTCGATTTGCTTTTTCGGTCAAGTGACTTGTATTTCTATTTTAAACCAGACACGTGCCAACATGTCAACCGTGCCACAATTAGTGGCTCTTGGAAATCACAACTGGTTTGGAGCGCAGTTGTGGAATTTGACATGATGCACGTCGCACTGGGGCCCAAGTGGTGGGAAGGGTAGGGACGCAGTTCCTAGAGTTTTTGTCGGTTCATGGGGCAGTGCTGTGTGCGGCGTTTTCGCCCCCGTATTGTGCAACGGTGGGCGTCTCTCACATATCAGCTGTATCGGGTACGTGCCTTGCAGCGGCGGTTCAACTGCATTGGCGTGTATTTGCAGCGATTTCAGCGCCGATTTTTGGACTCCTTGTCCCGGCACTTGCCTTATGAGTAAGCCTGTTTCGGTTATCGGAAAAGTGGGGTGACTGATCGACTTGGTCATCCGGAAGGCAGCCTATTAACAGATGAGAGTCGCCGACAAACTGGTCCGAATTCTGAAGGGCCACACATGCAGGAACTGGTTGTTGAAGCCCCGCTCTGTGGAGGTGAAGTTTCAGCTTCCAGTAATGGGGCAGATGCAGCAGATACTCCAGATGAGAGTTGGTCATGCGAAGAAGATTTTGATGTTTTGCTGGAACAGAGATCGCGAGAGCCGGTTTTGCTTTTGAAAAGCAACCTGCGACCTCCCTCGGGCCATGAAGCATTTTCCGTGGACGGTCTCAAACCAGCGCAGAGAGAGAGGCTCGGGCCGCAAGCCACGGGAGAACCTGTTACCGGTCCACGAACTGCTGCAGGTTTTTCAATGAATGTGCAGACAGATAACAATCCGAACGATTTTGTATTGAGGATGCGGATTTACAATGGTATCATCGTGCCACCTTGCATGCCTTGGGAGGTGTCTTCGTCTGCCGCCGTTTTCGACCCGGCCGTTCTTTCAGCTAGGGTTACGCCCAGGTATTGCGAAGGAACTTTGGTAGGTTTCAGAGACCACTTGCAAGGACGTGAGTTGCAGGTGGAAGATCCGCGAGCTGCGGATAAATCTACCCTGCCTGGAGCAGCCAAGCGCGTGCGCCTGAGCAGGTCATCGGTGGAGTCCGAGGTTATCAAGGCCAAGGCATTTGACCTCTTGAAGACAATGCTGGCTTACGATTATTCTGCTACTCTGCTGGGTGGCATGTTGTTGCAGGCATCACCTGACCAGCAGGCCATGTCTCTTGTCCTCGAGGACACATTTAGGCGGAAGGCTTCGAGCACGGTCTACAAGCGGGTTCGCGCTTATTGGCGATATTACTGTTGGGCAAGGCAGGAGCGTGGCATGGAGAAGCAGGCGTTGGTCCCGAGTGAAGAGTCCTTGTATAGATATCTTTCAGCTATGAGGGAATCAGGTCGGGGAGCAACGTCTGGGGAGTCTTTTGTGCAGTCAGTCAATTTTCTGCATGCCATGGTCACGTTCGTGCATTATCAGCCTGCCAGTTTGAGCAACCGTGTCAAGGGGGTGGCCTTCGACATGTTTTGCAAGAAACAACCACTGTGTCAGGCAAGGCAGCTATCTGTGCCTGAAGTGAGGCGGTTGGAGAACATGGTGATCTCTCCACTCTCCGAAGCGATGGGAGTAATCGCGGGGTACCTTATGTTTTGCCTGGCCACCCGCTGCAGGTTCGGAGATGCTTTGTTCGCGACGAATTTCGAAGTGATCAAGGACGAGGGCACCATGGTTATTCGAGCTGGGACCTTAGTCCATAAAACCTCATCCACAAAGGAGAGGAAGACCAAGTTTCTTCCTCTCATGGGCCTGGGCAAGTTCATGCATGATGAGCCTTGGGCAGAGCATTGGATGAGTTTGAGAGCTAGTGCAAACATGGATCAGTTCCTGCCCGTTGTGATGCCTTCGTACAATGAGATGCAGGGCCGTTGGCAGCGGTGTGCAATGACCACCGCAGAAGGGTCGCAGTGGTTGAGAGACATGCTGTCGGTTAAGCAGCAGGTCAAAGGATCTCGCCTCAGTTCTCATTCTTTGAAAGTCACTTTGCTGACTTGGGGAAGCCTTTCAGGTTTGCTGAGCCAGCAGGAGCAACAGGTTATGGGGCACCATATGGATCCTGGGTCAACTTCTGCGCTGACGTATAGTCGTGACGCTTTGTCATCAGTGCTGGCCAAGACAGCAGTCATTGTGCAGCAGGTGAAGGCTGGGAGTTTTGATCCCGATGCTTCGGTTGCCAAGCGAGTAAGCCTGGCCGTCAAGGGTCTCATGGAGCAAGTTGATGAGCATGATCAAGAGTGGAAGCCTCCTGAGGAGGATCAGGACGTCTCCTCTTCAGAATCCGAGGTAGCCTCTGAAACGCTGGAAGACCCGGAGGAAGTTGAGCAGCAGGCCAGAAATACCTGTGAGTTGGTGCGCCACCAGGTCTCTGGGGTGCTCCACATCCTTGTGGAGGAGCAGGGGAGTGAGTTGCTGTGTGGGCGAAAGCTGGGTTTGGCGTACATGGCGGTTGCCGAATCGGAGTCAGCAGACGCACCCATGTGTAGACAGTGCAGCAAATCCTGGTCCCGAGTTGTGAATGTTTAAGTCCTCTCTTGAAGGGAGCCGAGCCTTGCCGGAGTTCTGGGTTGAGGCAAGGCGGAGTGAGTCTAAAAGAGAGCTGAGGGGCGACCCAGAGTGAAGCTTGGTGCCAGTCGGTGCTAGGCAGAGTTTGTCGGCACGGGAAGAGCTGCCGCATGTGTGAGCCGAGTTGAGCACGAGCGGAGTTGCGATGGTAATCGTTTGAGGGTCTTCGGTCCCGGAGTGTGCTGGCTCGAGAGGTGCTATCGGATGTGCCAGTGTGTTGAATTGTTTTTCTCACTTAAGCGGGTGCACGCACTCATGTAACAAACCGCGAGTTCCAGTGGGAATCGGTCAGTTCGCGAGCCATGGAGTCGGAAGCCACTTTTCGACAGAGAGCCCTCGCGGTTGGGATCCCTGAAGGGGACCTGCAGATGTTGGGGGACAAAGGTGTCAACACGTTTAGCACATTTGCATTTTGTGCACCAATGCAGAATCCTCAATCGATCGACGAGCGACCGCTTCTGGAGGCTTTGACTGAGCTTCTTGAACTGACGGAGCAGATCTCGGGCCCTCGAGTCATACCGTACAGGAGGCTCTATTTTGAGAGTCAAACTTTGGCGCTGAGTGACATGAAGCAGCGGCTGGAGAGAAGAGATGATCAGGCGCCTCGGAAAATGTGCCTGCCCGAGCGGGTTCAGCGTTTGAAGTTGGCCCGAGATGAGCTGACAGGAATCACCATTGACGCGGCGTTCGAGCCGTCTCATCGGCTCACTGACATTTGTCTTCAGCAGTGTGAGGACCAATCTATTTCCTACATCGAGCTGCACGACTGTACAAGCAGGGAGTGGGAAATAAGCAACAGGAAGCGTGATTCGGCTATTGAGTTTCAAGTTGATGGCACGCTCAGGATGACGAAGAAGGAGCAGCGAGTTCATCACGAGCCGACCGGAGAGCACAAGATCCGCACTGCCATGCTGAGGAGGGCTCTGGCTTACCACTTGGTGGGCGCTGCATCGTATCAGGTTTTGGAACGAGCGATTACGAAACTCTTCTCTTACCTGAGCCGCGAACCTGTTCGGGGATTCAGAGCCGTCTCTTTGCAGCAGATTGTATTTGCAGAGAAACAGATGTGGATTGAGGCTTCGTTGGCAACGGTGGGAAAGGTCCTAGACACTGCCGCGCCTAAGCCTCTGAACGAGGCGATTACTGCCGCCATGGACTCCCCGGAGGTGAAGCAATTTTTGATGTTCCTCCCACTGGCTCCTGAGGCTGCAACTTCAGGTTCAAGTGCGAAGAGGGAGGCGCCCAAGGCCGACTCGGGGCCTGCGGCGAAAAGGCCCAAAGGCAAAGGCAAAGGCGGCGGCAAGAACAAAGGCCCCGCCATTCCGGCGGGGTGCGTGGCCGTTCTAAGTAACGGAGATCGGGTCTGCTTTGCTTACCAAAGATGTCGATGTGTCAAACAGAAGGAGGCTGAGTGTCAGAAGGGGAAACACCTGTGTTGGAAGGAGGGGTGCCATGGCCGGCACCCCGGGTCGGAATGCAGCAAAAACTGAGACGAGGTGACGCAGGGCGAGGGGCTCAGCGTCCGAATTCAGTGCTATGAGTTTCACTTACCGTTTGATTGGCGGCAGATGAAGCCAGTGGATTGGAGTCAGCCGGTGGACCAACTTTTTGCAGTAGAGTTGTTCGCGGGCACCGCCGGTCTGTCGGCTGAGATGCAACGCCAACATTTTCAGGTTTTGCCCATTGACCACAGCAGGTCCCGAGGGCCTAAGGTCAAGTTAGTGCTTCTGGACGTGACCAAGCCGCAGCAGTTTCAGATTTTATTGCAGTTGCTCATGACGGCCAACATTGCATATTTCCATGCGGCTCCGCCCTGTGGTACGGCAAGCAAAGCGCGCGAGAAGCCAATGCCAAAGTGGTTGAAGCATGTCAGGGCGCCCCCTCTCAGGAGCCATCACCGTTTGCTTGGCTTGCCTGGGTTGACGGAGGTACAGCAGCAGCGCGTGCAGACTGCGAACTTTTTGTATGCAGCAACTCTGCTCTGTATGAGTGTGGCTGTCGAGAGGAACATTTTGGTTTCATGCGAAAACCCATCTGGCAGCTACATGTGGAGCAGTTTCAGCAACGTGCGCCAGATTTCATTCGGCATGCGTGGCAGCGGTTGGAATTTAACAAGTTTCAGGCATGCGCGCACGGAGGCCGGAGGGACAAGTGGACCACTTTCCTGTCCTCTCCTAACTTCCTCCGACCGTTGCGGAAGTCTTGTGATGGCAGCCACACACACCTTTCGTGGGAACCATCAGTGGACAAGGGACGACTACTTTTTCCGACATCGGAGGAAGCAGCGTATCCCGACCTGTTATGTCGTCGGGTCGCCATGCTTGTGGTGACAGAATGCCAGAAACGCGGAGCCACCGTTTTCCCGGACACCCTGAGCTCAGCAGGTTTCGCTGGCGAGAAGCGGGCGGCCCGGGCCTGGGCCATTGTCTCGATGCCCCCTCTGGTGTCAGAATTTGCCATGATTGCGGATGTGGAGCTCGACTCAGCAGCTCAGGCAGGCTGGGTAAAGTCTCTTGAAAAGAAGGGGGTGAAGCGAAAGACCGAGAGTAGTGGTGGCAGAAGTGCAGACCAGACGCAAGGGGACCAAAATATGCGCATTCGGGATGTCAGCCTGAGGAACTCAGGCGATGCAAAGGTTTCGAGAGTCTGGAGCCAAGTGCAAAATGAGCCTAAGCTACATACTGTCTTTTGCAGCGGAGACCCCGAGAAGAGAGCGTGCGAGTTTGGTTATTGGAGATCGCCTGGAGAGTTTTTGTGCGCGGCGCAGGGAGCTCGGCACCCTGTCGATGTGGTTCGCCTCGTCCCAGATCAGCTTACAAACAGCGTCTTGCAAGTGTTGAGGATGGGGCCTAAGCTCACCAACTTGAAGAGGCGTTTGAGCCTGGCGAAGATCAAGCGGCTGAGGATCCAACTGGCTGCCGAAGAAGTCAGACTGCATGCGAAGTTGGATCCGGACGTGGAATGCATTTTGCAGGGCAAGAACTTGTTATTGTGGAAGAAGCTGCTTGAGGAGTCTGGATACAAGGACCTTTCAATTTGGGATGAAGTTGTTCGAGGTGTCAAGATGACGGGGCCGGCAAGCTTGTCCGAGGAGATGCCTCATGGATACCAAGTGCCGAACATGTCCGAGCGCGAAGTTCAAGCCAAGGCCCACTGGTTGGTGGAGACGTGCGTCAGTTGCAAAGTGCCAGGAACGTGACCCTGAGCTTGATGCTGAGCTGTGGAAACAGACTCTGCTGGAGGTCGAGAAGGGTTGGTTGCAAGGGCCGTTCTCCGAAGAGGAGGTGACCGCGCTGGTGGGGACATCCAGCTGGCTGGCAACACGGAGGTTCCCTTTGAGGCAAAAGACGAAGGTCCGTATCATAGACGATGGGCTGGAGTCTGGCTTGAATGCTTCATATTCGACCCCGAATAAGCTGCGGTTGCACGACCTGGACACTTTGACGGCGCTGCTCATTCGAAGGTGCCTGGCAGGGAAGGGACGGCAGACAGTTGCTATGGCAGATGGCTCGCTGCGAACGGCAGAGCTGGCAGCTGACTGGCCGGCCGAGGTAGATCTGCTGGGAAGATGCCTGGACTTGACAGACGCCTACAAACAACTCGCGGTGGACCCCAAGGAGGCCTGGAGCCGCGTTTTGGTGGCCTATGATCCTGAGAGAAAGGAGCCCAGGTTTTTCTTGACGCGGGCTCTGATGTTCGGGAGCTCGGCCAGCGTTTACTCGTTCAACAGGGTGTCGAGAAGCCTTTGGCATCTGGGACAGTTTTTCTTGTGGCAATGGAGCACAAACTACTACGATGATTATCCCTCTATAGAGACGCGTGAGACGGCGGGCTCGGCCAGGGAGACCATGGAGGGATTGCTAGAAGAGCTTGGATGGCGTTTTGCAAAAGAGGGCAAGAAGGCAAAACCTTACTGCGACTCCTTTGAGGTGCTGGGCGTTGTGTGCTCTTTGAGGGGCACCTCGGTTTCCTTGGCCAACAAACCCAGCCGTGTGGAGGCGATAGTCGCGAACAGTGAGGCGTGGGTGCGATCAGGTTGGATAAGCCCTGGAGAAGCAGCGTCAATGCATGGAGTCTTGAATTTTGCCAAGGGACACTTTCAAGGGCGAGCGTTGGAGCCTGCGGCGAAGTTTCTTAGCCAGATAGCTGCGGGGGGTTGCAAGGAGGCGGACAGGGAGTTGCTGCCCGAGGTCGTTTCGTATCTGCATGCTGTTGTGAGAGGCTCGCGCCCCAGGGAGTTTGGCATTCATGATGACTGCAGGCCTATGCTAGTTTTCACTGATGGTGCGTTTGAACCGGATGCTGAGCAGAAGTATGGGGCAGGAGCGGTGTTGTGGGACACCGCCAGCCAGAGGGGTTCTTCGCACAGCGTGGTGGTGCCTCCGGATCTGGTGGCTGCTTGGCAAAGTGCGGGCAAACGCCAACTCATTAGCGAACTGGAAATGCTGCCAGTGCTTTCAGTGTGTGAGTCGGCTGCAGACATGCTGTGGAGAAGACGAGTGCTCCTTTTTTGCGACAACAACGGTGTTAGGCAGATGCTGGCCAAAGGCAATACCCCTTGCCCGGGACTGTTTGCCATGCTGGCCCTCGTTCACAGAGCGCTGGCCAAGGCGGAGTGCTTGCCGTGGTTTTGCAGAGTGCCTTCAAAGTCAAATCCCGCCGACGGGCCTTCGAGAAACTATTGGCAAGATGAGGTTTGCGCTGCCCAGTGCCTGAGAGGGCCGGATTTCACAATACCGCCTGCCTTAGTCAGCGCACTGCTGTCCAGGCAGACTTTTCTGAGTTTCCTGAATGCAGAGTCGACTCTGTGACTTGTGCCGACGCAAAGGGCATGGTTGAAAAGAGGGGTGGAGGAGTGCAGAGAGTCAAAGACGGAGTGGAGGCTATGCAAAGCCGGAGTGTGACTGCGCCCTCCCCTCTGGCCGAAGGCCGAAACCAATATGTCTTTGCGAAAGAAAAGAGTCTCAGAGTTTGCATGAAATGCCCATTTTATACACAGACGTGATGCGCCGCGCCTAGCTGGGGATGCTGGCGATGTAGTTGTGTATGCTGGGTCTTGTCGTAACCCGAGATTTGGCTCAAAGATGGTCATTTTCAAACGTGTTTGATAAACCTATCTTTGGGTCAAACAGAGTAGCGTCTCGGGTCTTGTGTGTGTCCCACTGTGTGTGTGTCAACCAAATAGCTTGAGGTTTGGAACACACCTTCGCACATGACACGCGCGAAATACGTTGTGTCTTTGTGTGTTATCAATCGAGCAATGCATGTAGACCGAGAGCAGCTGTTCGATTTGCTTTTTCGGTCAAGTGACTTGTATTTCTATTTTAAACCAGACACGTGCCAACATGTCAACCGTGCCACAATTAGTGGCTCTTGGAAATCACAACTGGTTTGGAGCGCAGTTGTGGAATTTGACATGATGCACGTCGCACTGGGGCCCAAGTGGTGGGAAGGGTAGGGACGCAGTTCCTAGAGTTTTTGTCCCGCCCACCCAACCCCGAGTGCAGAGAGTCAAAGACGGAGTGGAGGCTATGCGAAGCCGGAGTGTGACTGCGCCCTCCCCGAGAGTCAAAGACGGAGTGGAGGCTATGCAAAGCCGGAGTGTGACTGCGCCCTCCCCTCTGGCCGAAGGCCGAAACCAATATGTCTTTGCGAAAGAAAAGAGTCTCAGAGTTTGCATGAAATGCCCATTTTATACACAGACGTGATGCGCCGCGCCTAGCTGGGGATGCTGGCGATGTAGTTGTGTATGCTGGGTCTTGTCGTAACCCGAGATTTGGCTCAAAGATGGCGCCATTATGGACATAGCCAAGGCCGTTGATGATAGGAAGTGGTGGCCCCTGTCTCCTCAGAGCGGAGGAGACGAAGTATTTGTTCGAGTTGGGAGGAGGCCTGAATGATGTCCTGAGGCATATCTATCCTGCGTGCGACAGGGATGCGCCTTTGTTGCAACTCGGAAAGGAAGCTGCCACGCGGTAATGTGGCACAGTGAGACCAGTAAACTCTAAGGAGGCGCCCAGGCGAAAAAGTGACAAGGACGGTCCACTTGGTGGGTGGAATACACCCAACAGAGTGGACTGAAGCACAGTCGCCGCAATCACCAACAAAGAGAACACACGAGGTAGAAGCGGGCGCAGTCTGTTCCCACTGTCGCAGCCATAGGCAGATACCTGCAAGATTGGGGGAGTCCGGGTCACATATGCCAAGAGAATCAATGAGACCAAGCAATCCGATTTGCGGGAACAAAAGCTCTTCTCCAGAGCACAGAGCTCTAAGGGTGTGCTCCGTGTAAGGGGAGCGTTGAATGACCCGCAGCATACTTGGCTCATGAGAGAGGTAAGTGAGAATGGATCGAGGCTCAGTGAGAGCAGGATCATTGTCAGCAGGGAGCACAGGAGGAGCAGGCGCAGCCCCCGCAACTTTCGGCTTGTCAGGCGGAAGGGCGCGTACAATATGCCAAAAATCATCACTGCACAAGGGGATTCCTTTAGGGAAAGGTACGTCACAACAATAACCCCGTAGGCTCTGATCAATGGAGCCGAGAACCTGCTGTCTAATGCCAGCGTATTTGGCGAGGAGAGCGTTGGGCGAACAAGGTTGCCATACTTGTGGCGCAGCCTCACCACGCTTGAGACGCTGAAGGTAATGCTTGCCACCAAGGGCAGTGGTCACAGCGCTGGGCTTGAAGTAGTAGATCATGCATGAGTCGGTCAGGGATAGTGACATCATGCATGGAATCTTCAGCAAAACTAGTTAACTCAGCATCAACAACCTTTTCAGCAAGAGACGGCAACCTGAAAGGAAGCGCAAACCGCGGGTGGTCAAGGAAATCGGCAAGGACAGCGGCAGCTATCTCTTGCTCCTTGTTTGGGAGTTGCGCAACGGGGGCGCCCCACTGGATGATGACTTGGAGAGCACGGACAGCGGCAAGGGGGAGGAAGTCTGTCCAGGGAAGGTCGGGCCAACCCTGCGTGCCACATTGGCTATGAAAGGCCTCAATACTGCCAAAGTAGGCTATGATACAGGAAATGCCGAGGGTGGTAGGCACTGGTAGTGAATCGGATATTACCTCTGCGTGTGAGGCCTCTGGTTCTAAGCCAGGGTGGCATTGGCGGTGTGTTGGCTTTATGCTTCGGCTTTGGCAGCATCCATCCATGATCCCATGGGTCAGCCTGCTTAGAAGGCAAAATGAAGGAATTATTACTGACGAGGAAGTAACGATTCCTAGAAACGGCAGACTAAGAGGAAGTATTTATTTGATGAATGCACGATTCCGGCACACCAGAGGTATTGTCGGAAGGCACTAGCCATGCTGCCGGCATTTTCTAACATGGGGACGACTCTGCGGGCAGCTCCAAGTTCCTGGAGTGCATACATTACAATGTGGGCAGCTCCAAGTTCCTGGAGCGCATACATTACAATGTATACAACATGGTAATGCACACTCCTAGTGCCAGTGATGCCAAGTTTGCCCCCTCCTCTCCCGACAGTCGTGTTGTCCTGACACGGAGAGCCTGCACCAAAAAAGATGAGGGCATCCTCGGGAAGCAAGGCGAGGAATTCACGCAATGCAGCAAAGTGTTGATGCGCAACTTCCCATACGTCAGCGAGATACCGAACCGGGATTTTGCCGCGGTGGTTTACCCATACGCTGGGGTCGCAATGGTAGCCATGGACTGCGGAGATAACTGATCGGATGTCGGGGTCGAGCTCAGCGATGCGCAAGGCAGCGGGAGACCCGAGCTCTTCTGTGAGTGTGTCAACGAAACTGCCACTGCCATCGAAAAAGCTATGCCATGTGGCCGCGTCGGTCCACACACAGCATGTCGTAGCCGAATCCTTCGTCTGGCCTGGAGGCATTCAATGCCAATCGTATCAGAGCTGCAAAAGACGGCCCCAATTATGTAGGGCAATAAGTGTTCAACTTCATCGCGGGTGATTTGCACATATCCACGGTTGGGATGATACACTCGCCCTATAGTACCATCAAAGGCTTCAAGATGGAGTGGGGTGTTTGCTTGTACAACTATGAGCCCGACAAGGGAGAGTCGGATACGAGATCCCTCGACATTGAAGTCAAGCGGACGCCCAAATGATGCAACGAGCGCCCTGGCAATCTTGGGGTCTGATGGGACAGCTGCAATGTTTAAAGGGTGAGTGAGCCGTCCACAAGACGGATCCGGAATTTGCAGCCAGGACACATCGACAAGTGGGTGAACAGGAACCCTACTGGGGTAAATGCGAAGCTTGTTTGCATCAAGGCCAGTGAGCTGCTGGACATAACCACTTGGCAGGAGGCGAATTAATGTGTCAACAAGGTCAAAGAATTCTTCATTGACAAGTGACGGAATGCTTTGAATAACGTCAGCAATGACACTGGGTGTTAGTGCCGCATCACAGTGGCCAATAGCGATATCGGATGCAACTGCTTCAAGAAGAATCTGCCTAGGATGATCGCTACTATCAGTCATTCGCCATGCACCGAAACAAAGGACCCGAAGCGCAACGTAGAGGATCCTAAGGTCAAGCTGTCTGTCAGTATTGACAGCAGGATCGACTTGCTCAGGGGCAGCAAGTTCAATAGCTTCGTTCCCAGGAAGGGAGTTAGGCAAAACCTCTGCAGCATTTCTCTCTTCGCCAGAAGTGGGCCCAGGAAGGCAGGTTATGTCGATTTCTTGATGGACAATGGCAGGCAGCAAATCTTGAACTTGGGAGAGGCTGCCGCATACATAGAGCCAGCCACCTTGGCGCCAACCAATGTGAACAGTGGAGTTGTCATGGAAGAGAGGTACGCGCACTGAGCCCTCAACGTTAATGCGGCACATTATTTGCTGGTCAGGGCGAATACCGTGGCCAGAGTAGAGGGCACTCCCAGTGCTTAGTTGGAGTTTCAAGCGTGCTTCGCTTGTTCTTCCTTTTTCCAAGATCACTGGGCGACTGGGGCCATCGTATGGTTCCAGGTGATCCACCGATTTCAACATGATGGGGTCCCTTGGCGAGTAGCTCCTCCGCTTGGGCACGTGAGAGTTTGTGACCGGCCTTGCTGGCTCTTTGCACAAGCAGCTCCTTGCCATCCGCTGGATCACGGTCTTCCAGCAATGTGCCCCGGATCTCTGTGGCACGATTCTGCTGGCGCATCTGATATGGATGTCGGGTATTGACCACGCTCTTCGGCACTGCGACCTCAAGCAGCTACACAGCCACTTCTTGCTTCTGGAACGGCACCTACAGGCCCTTCAATTGTCACTTGATTTTTTATTGTTTCAGCGGCGTGTCACTTGCTATTTCAACGCAGCCGTTTGTGCTGCGAAGCTTCTTCTTGACTGCTCGTATCAGGGTCGGGCTCGGGTTGGCGGGGGTCTCAGTCTCGCCGTCTCGTTTGGAATCTTTCTCTGCAGCACACCAGGTCATGAGTCGGCATGATCAAGGGCATTGGTCGTGGTCAGGCGTGGTTGTTTTTTTGCTTGAGGCTGAAGGCGTGTCAAGACGTGGGTTTGCGATTGCAGGAAACAAGTATCGCTCGGCGTCCGGAGCTCTGAACCAGCTGAAGAAGAAAACCCAGAAGGCAGAAGAAGAGCACAAGCAGGAGAAGGAGGAGAGTGAGAAAGTTTTGCACAGCTTCGCAGCTGCCAACGCCCTTCTGAAGCAGAGGGAAACCGAGCTGCTGAGCGAGAACTCGCAACTCAAGGCGCTCTGCTAGCCACGGATCTTTTTTTTCAATGCGCCTTGTCACAGGTTCAAGCGGCGCAGCTCCAGGTGCGCATGTTTGTTGCAGCACCAACCCCTTTTTTTCCCCCTCTTTCCGTTTTTT